TACACTCGAGGAAGGTTTCCGCGACATGCTTCAGGAAGTCAAGGGACTGAAGCAGGGCGAAAGTCAGATCGGCAGCCGCGGTACGCAATCGCCGCCGAATGAGCTGACCACCAAGAAAAAGGGCAAAGCGAAGAAGAAGATGAGTATCCGACGAAGTGATGAGGAGCCAAGAATGGGCTCCAGTCTATAAAGAAGTAATGATGCCGCATGTGGCGCACTGCATATCTCGGTGTTTTGATTATTATCTCGCATGGCTTGCGTTTGGTACTTTGGGTTTGGCATAACTGTTTCGACGAGATACCCCATGGGTATTATTCATGTCTGATCAGCGGCGTTCCATCCGGTTCAGCAAGCATTGTCCGTGTCTTGCTTTTGTATCATTAGTTCTCGTTGTTTCTCGTCACAGTGTGGTCGTAATTTCTAGTTCAAACACAGTGGTATTGTAACACTATGGCTTGTTATCCTGCGGTAGCTTCCCTCACATCATATGTCACTCGCTCTCTCAGTGCACTCCAATATCACAAGAACGGGCCCGTTGGGTTTCCTCCTCCTGTCTTTTCAAGGTGTCGCCGGATCTGGGACCGAGGCACGAAGTCAGCGTGACCTCTACACGCGATTACGGAAGGAAGCTCACCTTATAGTTCATGAAGATGTGCCAGGCAGCCGCGATAGTGGAAATGATAATCATTGCGATGAGGGTGAGCAGCTCGAGAACTTCGCTTCGTGTCCAGGGTGTTGAAGACATGGTCATGTAGGCTTGTGGGAGTCGTGGATGGAGTCCACGGGTATGTATGATTGTTTGTGATCGTATTGGCCGCTGTTGCGAGAAGCGAGATGTCTGTTTACCCAAGGCCAAAGATATACAGGCATATATGTAGTTATTGCGTACACTGGTGTAAATTCATTCCGGTGGCTATCCAACATATCGATGACTACCCGGATAACATATCGATATCAAATTGTCTTGGAAGGCTGTGTTCTGACTATACTTATTTCGAGTGTCGGAACAAGACGCGGGACACCGCTCAATTAATCGCTAGACCGATTCGAGATGTCGGAAGCAGATTCTTACTCTGATGCTTAGAATCTGTTACACAGGTCATGTAACGGGTTCTCTATGGTGATGATAGCCCTGGAGGCGATGCAGTGCTAGTGCGGATGCGGATGTCGGAGTGAAAACTAGGCTGCATTGAGACGTCGGAGCCTCGAGCCAAGACAGCGATGTGCATGTGGCTGCAGAATGCTGCGCAATTGCCATCTTTTCCATGCGCACTTCGGCAGGTGGCTTCTCCCTGGCCTGCTGTCAACGATGTCGCTCGCTCCTGTAATATGTTTGCACGTCCGCTCTTCAGGGTGCGGTTTTGCTGTTCACCCGCATCGTCTCTTTGGCCTATACATCGCACCTAGCTGACGTGTATCTGATCAGTGTCTTCTGTTCTCCCCAGTCTCCCGCCTGAATAGCCACTTGGGCAGCCTCGTCGATATGACTGAGTCCGCAAGCGACATCCACATGGAAGACGGCGATCCAGCTTCAAATCATCAGAGGTATCTTCCCGACTTCGATGGATCATATGCAACCTCTGGGTACGATGGATACCTTGCTATGGAGCAGCAGATGAGCTCTGTTGAGCAGTTGCATGCATGGTACAACGGCCCTTCACTTGCTTCCAGCATGAGCCCACCTGTTCATCTGGCGCAATCATGGGTGCCTGATCGGTATCCCCAGGAATTTGACAACGACTTGTTATCGTCAAATATGTGCGAGGTTGATCCTTCAACTTGGCTACCCACATTCTTCAGTGGACCCGCTAAAAATGATAATACTCGAGTTTATCAAGACGTAAGTTCAATCTTGCCAGATGAGAAGAGACCGAATGTATACTAAGGCTACGTTTCTCTAGATCTCCCTGAACGCCACTACTGATGTGGGGTTGTACCCGCAGACGATCAGCTCTTTAATCGCGCAGGGTTCTCTCCCTGTGGATATGCACTATGATATTCCTTATGTACACACTCTCGTGGAGGATCATGGCTGTGAAGATCCCTCGCTCGATGCGTCATACTACACGCTTTCGACAAGCAGCGATTTCGAGCCTCATATCTTCAAAATCAACTTCGATGATGCTCTAGTCCAGAGGATAGGCAGCGGTAGTTCAGACTCGTATGTGACGACATCTGCTGGCAGCACTGACTCTGAATGGCCGAGGCTACAACGCAGAGCAACCGATCCGCTCAAGCAACCCATGGACTTGGAGCCGTCGCATAATAGAAGCCCATGCGTCTCATATGGCTCAATTCATGCACCCGAACCCGTCACCTCTTCGTGGCAGGCGCCAGCAACCCAGTCAACGGCATGGTCTGTTGCCTCCTCCGCCCCTACACAAGCGCTACCAACTCGTAAGAAGCCCATCAAAGCCAAGCGCAAACGCCATATCTCAGACTTCGAAAATCACGACCGTTCGTTACGGGAGGCTGAGAAACATATCTCAAAACGAGCCAGAATACCACAATCGTCTGTCAATATCCTCTCGTTTCGGGGTCGAGACGACCCTCCTAAGTGTAGAGGTCGCCGTGAGGAGTCAGCAAAACAAGACATGCAAGGTCTCGCTCTTGCCGGTGGCTCATGTACGCATTGTGTGCACATCAAGAAGAAGGTACGTTCCAACCCGATATTGACTCACGATCATGGCTAACAATTCGAGCATCAGTGCGATAGACAAGTTCCCTGCGCCATGTGCGCGAAGTTTTGGAATCGTTATTCGACAGGAACACTACTCAAAGCGAAGCATATCGACTGTGTATTGCCTGACAAATCTGCTGGTACGTACTTGGGTATATATACTCCAGCAAGCTATGACAATGTCACTAACTATGTGTTCAGATGTTGCAGTCCAAACGAAACTCGCACTGCGTCAGATATACGATGAGATGACCGCGGTTCACAATTCTGCCTTAACCCTACCGAAACTGATGTCAGTTATGGACAACCTAAAGCCAAGTCAGAAGAGGCTTATGCAATCTCTCTTGGTGCATCTTCCCCGAAGGATACGACAAGACCTCGGATGCTACTTCTACATAGTCATGATTATCACTCGCACACAAAGCCTCCGAACCCTATCTCCCGGGACCAGTTCCGCACGCGACATTTTCGACCAATGGCACATACTTGAGACCTCAGCCTCACTTTCTGCATGCAACACAATCAATATGCCAGAGCTCAACGACGAATTTACTTTCGTATCCAACATCAGCCATTACATCTGTGGTATCAACGCACCACCACTTGCGTGTATGATACGACAATTGGAAGGGAGAAATATTGAGCATCTAGCTCGGAATGTCCAGCGATTTTCCGAGTTGTACATATTTCCACATCCTCCTAATGTCTTCGATGATGCCATGACCTGGATATTCAGGATACAGATGAAGGTTGGTCCCAACTGTTGGAATCACTCAAGGAACCATCTCAAGTTTATCTTACTGAGAAAACCCTCGGATCAATGGTGCTGCAGTTTATGGAGAAGTCATTTTCTTCGCTTTCAGACTGGAACTTGTGTGACTGGGCCAGCAGGTTCCTTAGGAACCTGAAGCCGAAGCTGGATCCGGGGCTGGAGTTAAAAACACTAGAAGTAGAGTACAGCGACTGTTTATGTCAGTTATGCATGTATGCGTAGAGAAGGCTTCTTTTCTTCAAGGGTTCTAGGCCTTCACTTCTTGGAGTATGCTGCTGCCCCATGTTAATCCTTTGTCTACGGTTGGAACAAGTACCTTACCCTGACAAATCTCACTTGTCTGGTATAGATGGAGGCTCTCATCACACATGCTACCGGATTGCGGTATCATGAGCTACGTGATGATCGCCAACGCTCTGGCGGCAGGCATGTCACATGTCGGAAGCAGGTACAGGACAATATCCAGTTCCACTCTACTCTGACTCACTTACGTCTCACACTCACACTTGTCTTGACCCTGTATGATGGATCCTCTCCTTCTCTTCTTTGTTTCGCTCGTCTTCAAATCTCTCATCGTTGAACCCCGAACGCCATTTTATCGTTTCAATCTCTTCATCGACATACTTGCCATTATCCAATCATTGAAGAACTCCGATGTGCGTTAAACTCCCTGCTTGTCGAAATCCTGCACTCTACTACTCCGCCGACTATGAAAATCTCAAAAAGCTTCCCTGTGTGTCAATCGATGACGTCTGGAAAGGACACTGAGATGTGTATATCGCGATAACGAAGAAGAGGTGTTGCCGACCCGGGTACCTCCTAAAAGTCTACACTGCCTTCAGGATGTTGTTAATTTAGTTTCCAAGGTTCTGTTACTAATGTAGACGGCAGAGCACCCGTTCAATTTTTGTTCTCCACCGTACAAAGTGGTGGTGTGAAACCGCAATATGAGTTTGGAGTAACGAGTCTATGCTTTGTCCCCTGAATATCACTTTGGACCATTTCCAGGGTCCATCGGTCCAGAATGTAGGAACGCGCACGTACGTGTTGCGCAAACCACCTCCCTCCTTGTAGACGAGTTCATAGCCACATCTATATTTGTTCGAACACCGGACGTTCTAGAATCTAGAGAGTGGGTCGCGCACCTAAATGGAGCAATCGATCTGACATTGAAAGCATGTCGTGCATTGTGACGCGCGCCCTTCCCCACAGGCACCCTACCTAGTATTCTGCGGGCAATCGGCGCAGGGGAAAGCTAGCCAGTTCCACGGTTCGTACGATGGAGCGATCCGTGGACTTCCATAATTAGTTTCCAAGGCTCCGTTGAACCCTTACTCTTAAGCTCGCGTTTGCACTTTCAATTGCTTGACAGTTTGCTACTACCATTTTACTAGAGTCAGAAGCGTTAAACGATTGATCGTCCCCGCATCCGACATCTTGCTCAAAGAAACCGGAACATTTACCCCGCAAATCATCGCAAGCCTCACACGACCCTCCCAAGGTTACAGCACACACGGCACACGGCATACGCACAGCGGAAGAAACAATATGGCGCCCATGCACAAGACTCCTAGCGAAGAAGGTACGCACCTCCCTCATCGAGCACTTTCGTGCGCCAAACGTCCAATTGGAGAAGCTCCGACTAACATGCCGTCACCCCAGAAATCGCAAACACCCTCGGCAACCTTGAGCTCTCAGCCTCGCATCCGCAGAAAACCGCGCAGAAGCCCAAATCCAAGCCCGTCGCAGATAGCTGGGAAGCCGAACTCAGCGGGTCGGATACTGAGACTGAGGATGTAGACCTCGGCAAGTCTGCACAGAAGGGCTCACCACACGATTCTCTACAACCCTTATCGACCACAACTTCGCGCGATAACCCGCCGAACCCGCCGCCGCCTACACCTGCCAGTCCCACGCAATTCGAATACCCGGATAATGTTCCGTACAACTTGAACTCTAGTTTAAGCGATAGTGGGAGCCGGAGCTCGAGCAGAGGAGGCCCAGATAAACGGCCAGAGAAGACAACGTCGGTAGCTGGGAGGATGATTGCGGGTGCGTTGGGTGTTAGAGCGCCGAAGAGGACTGAGGAGGAGAGGGAGTATGACCGCGTCATGAGGGAGAAGGAGAGGAAGAGGAGAACTGAGGAGAGGGAAAGGGAGAAGAAGGAGGCTGAGGAGAGGGAAGCCAGGAAGAAGGCTGTTTGGGATGACTAGAGCCGTTGAACGCTCTTATGCTCAGACTATGCTCGGCATGTAGTTTTAGTATTGATGTACATATAAATAGTCTACGAAAAGGTGTAAATTAGATGTAAAAAGCCAAAATGATATTGATTGAACATCGGAGTGCTAGTATGTTGTTTTCACTGCATGTGGGATTATTGAGCACCAATTTTACTCGATGTTGAACCGAACCTCTTCTTCGCTGGAGATTCCATGAGCACCAATCTTCATCTGCCGCACATTGCTGCTAGGTCCAAGACACGTGCATATAAGTCATGGAAAGTATATAGTAAATTCAATCCCTCTCGCTTATGGCGCACCATCAGCTAATACGTGAAGACTCAAATCGCGCCGCAAGGGCGGTCTTGGTAAATCCGTGACGCCCGAACCCATAGTATCATATGTGAAAGCAAAACCCATGCCTCTTTTCCGCCATCGCCGCCGCTGAAAGCAATCGTGTCCTCGTAGGTCTTCGGCAGGTCGCACTCGTGGGTATACAAGGTGACGGCCTAGCCACTAGGTGTCGAGATTCAGTGCAGCTGTAAGGACTTCTGCACACTGTCGCGGAGGGTCGCCGGTCAGCAGCCACCAATCTGCTCCTGGTGGACTTCAAGGGTGTCGCCGTCCTGCATGTCGAGCTGTGTCGCGTTAGCAATTGTCCCAGAAGCGCAGCCTTTCGCTGTATATAGAAGACTGCAAAGTCTCTCACGTACCGTGTCTGGGTTGTCGGCGGCTGTTACGCGCTGGCCGTCGAACAGGAATCGCACGCTTGAGATGTTCTTTCCCTGACGGTCGCAGAAGGCGTTCATGAGCTTGCCAAGGGCAGTGGTGCGCTTGATCTTGAAGAAGACCTCGTTGTTGTTATCGGTGACCTTGATGTTGAGGTGCTCGCTCTGGCCACCGTCTTCAGGCTTCTGCTGCACGTTGGGCGAACCGTTGTCAGACATTTTGAGGCGTGGGGGATGTGTGAGCGTCTGTGTGAGGTGTTGGGTCGCAGAGCGGTCGAGCAGGGCTGTTCGGCGAGGTCAGTTGGCTATCCAGCGGAAGCGGTGGAGAATAAGGAAGCGCCGTTTTGTCGTGGGGAAGGCTGCTTTATATAGTGCGGAGATAGCCGTACCTTAATACCGGCGCTTTGGTGCTGATTACGTCGGGTGATAGAAGACTCTCGTGAGGCTGGGCAGACGCGTCGGGTGTATGTAGGAGCGGTGGCAACGCGTGAGGAGTTCTGTGCAGGAGGAAAGCGCAACGACGACGAGGTGGGAGCACTGAGAATTAGTGGGGTCTCGCTCTCAAAGCATTGGCCAGCCCTAACTAACCGGCTTCACCTTCATCACCTTTACCTGCACGACGTAATTCGTCTTACCTGTTCTCTTACCAAGTCGCTATCTCTTCTGCCTCTGGATTTTTGCTTTTACAAACCTTGCATATCGACTCTTGCATCGCTGCGGTTGTTGGCTATTTTCACAATGGTATGCTCATGATGTCACGCTTATGGAACCGGCGGCGAGTACCAAATTGACAAGACCCAAGGGAGAAATGGAAAAGGACTTGAGGACAGATCCTCCGTGTCATCCTAGAGCATGTGCAATTCAAAGTGTGTATCTAGTCAACTTGTATCATACTGAGCTAAGTGGTAGACTGCATACAGAAGAATAATTACAACGAGGAAAAGTGCAGAAAAGAGGTATGCATCCATGTCTTACAGGAGAGCCCTTGAACACAGAACGGCTTTGAACGCAGCCTCACCAAAACCAGGTTGATGCGCTATACGAGTGCTGCAACGCCTTCTACAAAGAGCAAGGGGAGAATGCTAGCACTGTGAGCTGTCCGAAATATACCCTCCTTAAGTGAGTCTCGAGATCCGTTCAACTCATCAGCAGTTCTAACGACACCTCAGACTCAAAATGGAGCAGCGTGCGAAAGGGATATCATAGCCTCTAGCAAACTGTTGTATGCATATCCCGTGTAATTGTAGTGTAAAATAACAAATCAAAACGCCTGGAGCTTCTTTCTGCGATTGACACTGGATCCTCGGCCTCTCCATGCAAAAGTTTCGCGTCACTAGCAGTGTCGCGACGGGGCACGTTTTCTCTGAAGTCGATGGTACGTAGCATCGCATCCAAATGGTATCCGCTGTCGTCTGGCTCATGCATTTTGGGACACCAGCTACAGCGAACATCATAGGTATGCACTTTTGCCAGAGTGTATTCATGGAAACGGGCTCCTACGCGAGGCTGGCGCATCGAGATGTATGAGCCGAGAGGGCCAGACGAATGTGGTGCCTAAGACATTCGCATGCCATTCGAGCAATGGGTCGTTAGCTTAAGAGATGTATCACTTCCTATATCATCCGCACTGTCATTCCCCACTTGGGAGTCCAGCCAGGTTACCAGAAAGCGCATTGATCTAGGACAGCACGAGCGCGTCATGAGAAACTGAAGATTCCTGACGAGACTCTAAAGGCGCCGTCCTGTGAAAACATTGTGCCGAGAGACTCTGGGTAAGGGCAGATTTTGAGTTTTATGTTCACTAGCGCGCCGAAGCTTGGCGACGCGCTAAGGGCAGGGACCGTCGGCGCGCGACTTGTGTTTTGTGATGGGCTTGGGGCAGTCAACCACGAGCATCGCAGCTCCCAACACGTCATTGGGGCGCGTCTGATCAAGTACCACTGAGACTGTCTCATCGCCTTCTTCACGCCTTTCCGAATTCATACACTTCCCACCCGCCATGGCTTCACGATCATTATCGCGTCAGTCGCAGCCGACTGCAGCTCAGGTAAGTCATCAGAGAGATCCTGCTGTCTCCCGAGACACATCCAACTCCGTTCCAATGGGGGCTGACATTTCATCCAGTCCAACAACAACAATGCGCTCCTTTTCGGAACATCCCGAGCGACGAACGGCGCCAAACCCAACGATCCGCTACAACCGCTGCGCGCAATGGCCGAACGTGTAGGGAAAGAGGTGGAGAAGTTCGCTGAGCGAGTAGACCACTGGCATGTCCACGGAAACGAATCGAAGAAAGCCAAATACCAGACCACGGTCAAGCTGGTCGGCAAGTTCCAAGACGTTGCGGAATCACACGTGAAGGAGTTGAAGCGAACGACCGAAGCGGAGAACAAGGGAAGCCTCAGCAAGACTGTTCGTCGACAAATACAGACCATGGCAGATGCGTCAGACAACCCAGGCCAGAGTCTGTTTGGCCAGTCGTCCCAATCAGTCATCTCTTCCATCGAACCGAACGCCGCCTCCGTATCCGCGAACGTTCGAGAATTACGAGAATGGCAGGCTGAGCTTGCGACATGGAAATTGTTGAAGCTGGTCATCGAACATTACAACCCCGAGCCTGGTACCGATTCGGCTGCGGAGAAGCAAGCGCAACTGGAAGAGATTGGGGGAACTGCGAGATACTGCAAGAATAGTGAGATCTGGGATCGCTTTCTGTTGGAGGACGACCAGGCGAAAGAGAAGGCACTTGTTCTTCGCTGGCTAGAACAAACAGCGCGCGACAGTGACAGCGATGTCAAGGCGATTATTACAGGGCTCGAGGAACACTCCGGAAAGGGCGCGCACACATGGACCAGCGGATGGTTGGAGACGAAGACAAAGATCAAGCAGGCGAAGCGCATGGACGACATAGACCAACCTCTGAAGCCGATCAACTCGAATCTTAAGACCTCAGATAGGACCGCGAACCTCGTTACACAACTGGACCCGGACGCTCCTTCTAGGCAAAAGCGCGCACTCGAACGGAGTGATGAGTACTACGAGCGCTCTCTCTGGATGGTCGCATACGAAATGATGCGACGGGGACTCCCCTGGAAGACAATCGTCGACTGGTGCTACGAGCGAAACGAGTCGTGGCGCGGTGTTAGCATCGGAGCTGCGTACGAGGGCCATCCTGAAGGTGGCCCGAATGTCGCAGGGCCGACAGTTGGCTATCTGTTCCGTCGTATGTGCTTCTACGCCGCAAGAGGTGCTCGGATACCATACGAAGGCGCTGTATATGGGCTGTTGAGTGGAGACTTGAAGCAAGTACAGACGGTCTGCAGGTCTTGGGACGACCATCTACATGCGCACTACAACGCACTTCTTCTCTCGCGATTCGACTCATACCTCCAGAAGAAGCACCCGAATCGAGTGACAGAGAGCATGACTCAGAAGTTTCTGTTCCAGGATGCCGTCGCGAATATCGGAGAGTGGGAGAAATCACCGGAAAAGGTGATGAGCCTTCTGAAGCAGCAGAAGAGCACAGCAGCGCAAGCCGTCTCGCCGATCAAACTCATCCAGAGCGCGCTAATTGGCAGGGACGCTGATGATCTGATGCTGAAGGTCGGTGTGGCTATTGCAGACATGTTCGACAAGGACGAGCGACCTCACAGTCTCATCATACACCCAGACTCACCAGAAGAGGACCGAAGCCCCATACCCGCCGGCGACCATCGCACATACCACGCAGAGCCATATTACCAGGCCCTTGCGAAAGATCCACACGCTTTCCGCATTATTGTCCACATCTTCATTGTCCTTCGTAACGGATTACACACGCTTTTTGAGGATACACACCAGGACAAGAAATTCTTAGCTATGGACAATGTCATCGCAGCTTATATCGAATTCTTGCGCCTCACCAAACGATTCGATACTATACCACTATACGCCGCGCAACTCATCCCCGAACGAGCAGCCTACAGCCTTGCGCGCGTGCTTCCCGGTATCAAGAACAGCTCTGAGCAACGACACTCCGTTGCGCTGATGGAGTCATACCGGATTGATGTTGTCCAAGTCATTTCGCAGAGCTTCACGTTTGCTTCGCGGGATAGTGGATTTACGCACTTCACCAACGATGGCTATGGCGTTATCACCAACCCTATCAGGCGGTTTAACATATTGGAGAAGATTACACTTCCGACCGAGCAGCTGCTATGGCCAGGCGTGCGTGTCAAGCGCACATTCGACGGTGCTGAAATAAGCCCACAAGACGAGGTTGTTATC